TTAAACAAAACTATATCTTTTTAAATATTTTTCAAGGTTTAAAAATAGCTACAAAATATTAATAAAACTATTTTTTGTAATTTTCGTTTTTAAATATTAAGATAAAATATGAGGTAATATTTTTGTATTTTTTCAAAGTTAAAAATGCCTATAAAACTTTAATAGAATTATTATTTTTGTATTTTTTCGAAATTATATAAGGTATAAAAATAAAGTGCAATTTTTGTATTTTTCAAGTTTATGAGAAATACATAAACTAAAATTTTTATATATATTTTTTTGAAATTTTCTTTTTTGCAACGAAATAAAGTAAAATAGTTAAAATAGCTATACTAGACCCAATTTCACATATTCACGCTAAAAATGTGAAAATTCTCGGGGAGGGTCAAAAATCACGTGCTTACAACTAGTTTCATCAATTCCGACTCCGAAACGATGTTCAAAACTTAAAATTTCACTTTATGAAACTTTAGGCAAAAACTCCAAAATTTCACTTTGAAATCAACAATCAAATGTCAAAAACGAAGGTGGATTCATGAAATATAATAAAACCGAGTAGAGAACACTTACCCAATACATATGGTGAAAATCACCTCCAAAATCACCCAAATCCGAGCTCCCCAACTCAAAATATGACCAAATGAACAAACCCTTATTTATATATTTTTTTGCCAGCTATTCTGCCTCGCTTCTCGTGCCAAACGATCCTCAAACTCGCTTTTGATGCCTCCAATGGATTTCTTATAAAATTTTAATCACGTTAGGCTATTGAATCACTCAATTTGACCTTATATTGAGGGAGATATGTTGGTTTTAATATTTGAAAATAGTGCAGATTTTTTAAATACGAATTCAGTGGCAATTTTGTAATTAATCTGAAAAATCTAGCAACCCAATTCTTAGTAAAATGATCATAAAATCCTCATACGATGTCCAAATTTGACGATTCTTTTTTCTATGGTTCCGTAATTACGATACGGATCTAATGCTTCAATAAAATAGAAATCGGAGCTCATTTGCTTAATGTAGTACTATTTATGCTTGGAAAACGACGTTGAAACATAAAAAACGAGCGGAACACAACCCAAACCTATCCGAAACTCACCCAAGCCCCTCGGGACCCTGTTCGAACATACCAACAAGTCACATATCATAATATGGACCTACTTGAAGCCTCAAAACATACATAACAACATCGAAACTACGAATCACACCTCAATTCGAAATCAATGAACTTGAAACTTCAAACTTGCACAACCGATACCGAAACCTATCAAATCAGGTCCGATTAACCTGAAATTTTGTACACAAGTCACATTTGATATTATGGACCTGCTCCAACTTCTGACCCCGATATCAAAAAGTCCACTCCCGGTCAAACTTTCTAAAATTCCAACTTTCGCTATTTCAAGCTAAATTCTACTACGGACCTCCAAATCACAATCCGGACGTGCTCCTGAATCCAAAATCACCCAAGGGAGCTAATGGAACCATCAAAAATCTAATTTGAGGTCAAATTCTAAAAAGTTAACACTTGGTCAAACCTTTCAAATTTAAAGCTTCTAGCTGAGAATCATTCTTCCAAATTAATTCCGAATAACCTGAAAACCAAAACCGACAATTCACATAAGTCATAAAACTTCATACGGAGCTACTCATGCCCTCAAACAACCGAGCAAAGTGCAATTGCACAAATCGACCGGTCGGATCATTACAACTGTCTTTCCTTTTCTCCATTTTTCTACTAATTTACTCCATTTGTGTTGGGAATTCGAGTTTGATTGTGGGTTCCTTTGTTATTGCTAGTTGTTGTTAATATTTTCTGCTACTTATTGTTGTTTACTTCTTCTCCAAAGCCAGAGATTTATTTTCTATTTTTGTCTATCTTGCTACAATCAGGTACTCACTTAAATCTGAGTTTTTAGTTTGGCATGAATGAGTTAATTTCTTTATTTTTCCATGAAGTCCTGATTCAATCATCATTTGCTAATTTTCTTATGTTTAGTATGTTAATTAGTAAAACTTGATTTTTCTGAGTTTAGTTCCGATGTTAATAATTCATGTTGTAAACTGGTTGAGTATAAGTTGGAAGGTGACCGAGATTGTTTAAGTCTAAACATTAGTTTAAATAGCTATATTCCAGTTAACAGTACCCTGAGCATGTAGTCTCAGTTATTAAATTTTTGTTTTAAGTCTGAATACAGTTTAAGTTTTGTTTAAACCATGTAGATTCAGTATTAGTTCAAAAGGCTTTACTATAGTATTGGTTTGTTGAAGTATGTGGATGTGTGTTGAGTTTGGAATGTAAGGAGGTGGCTACTGCTGAATACATGGCTATGATTTGCTTATCGACCACCAATTGGTCAGACAGGTGAACTCTAAGGCTAAGGGGTGGATTTGGAGTCATTTATGGAGGGAGATTAAGTAGAATATTGATAATTTGATTATGTTATGTTCATATTATGAACCATTCATGTATATATTTAAGGATTTATATCTATTACCATTATTGACAACTGTATTATAATTCGCCAAAGTCTGTTATGTTTTAGATTAATTCAAATCGCTCAACTGTCCATTTTCACTGTTCTTGGCATTTTTAATTCTGGAAGTTTGAATGAGTTACTACCGATTTTGTTTTCTTAGTTCTTTCACTTTTATTGTTCATCGTTGGTGAAGAGGAGTAAGCCATCGTTTAGTTGTCGTTTTTGTCAAACTGATAATCTGTCTTGTTTCATGTGCGATTGTTCTATAGTTTCATTCCTGTTTAGTTGATTTTGGCCAATTTGTTTCATAAAATCGAAAGCAGTAGTGAGATAAGAAGGTTTAATTCACTTGAACAAGACTAAACCATGTAAAGTGAGGCTTAAGTTTTCCTTTGAGAGTAATGGACCTGGGCCGAAATTCTTTCCAGGCCCAACATCATGCAACGTAAATAGGTTAACTCTTTTTAAGGGCTTTAGATATAAATGAATTTCCCAATGACAACAATGACTAAGTCATGAAATTTATCTATAACAATTTTCATACATCATGATCTTACAACAATCTCAAAGTAGTTTAAGAAAGATAACTCATAAACCTCGTAGCTTGCTTTAGGCGCGATTAATAATAAATCAATTGTGACTATGGGTACGGTTCCCGTGGCATAGTTATAATACCTAATTCAAATCCGGGTGTGCATTTCATGTGACCCGACCACAACTTCGAACAATAATAAAATAAACATGTTGTAATCACGGGTGCATTTCATGTGACGCGGTTTGCAATGTGTACCAAAACGACAAGTGTACGACAATCGTGACTTGTTGCAGAAAAAAATCCATAAATAAATAAAAGGGGTTATAAAGTAAAAATGCACAACATGTTTAAAATATGTAATAATTAGGCCATTTATTAATAGTTGAGCGACCGTGCTAAAACCACTGGACTAGGGAGTGCCTCATACCTTCTCCCGGGTTAACAGAATTCCTTACCCGATCTTCTGTGTTCGCGGACAAAAGAGTCAATTTTCCTCGATTTGTAATTTAAAATAAATCGGTGAGTTGGGACACCATAAATTATTCCAAGTGGCGACTCTGAAATTAAATAAAATAATCCCAATTCAAATATGTCACTTTAATTGGAAAAACTCCCTATCCCCTTGGGAAAAAGTAGGTGTGACAAACATGATACTGTGTAATGTGTTCATCACTATCACACGAAAAGAATACCAATAGCGAAACCAGAAATTTCCTCAAGAGTGTTAAGACTTGAAAGAAGTAAAAAAAATATTTCGAAAAAGGGTGTTCAATATATGTTATATACACCTAAAATCTAATATTTTACTTATATATATAATTCAAGTTAAAGGGCGGTCAGCAAAAGATGGCTTCGCCCGAGTCGAACGCTCTTCTTTTTAGTAATTCAAGTTAATTCAACTCCCGGTCTTCTCTTGGTTCCAGCAACGGCAAATGCTGCTTTAACGTGGAGTAAGCAAGGAACCTGATTAATTTATATAGACATCATTGGTAAATTAAATGATAAATTTTGGTGAAAGATACTATATATTATGTTGTACAAAGACTAGGTGCGAAATTTCAGTGTAAAGTAATATATTCATTCCGAAAATTATTAATTAATACGATGATTAATTATTGGATCCAGGTATTAATAAATTATCATATTACAACGACCAGTGAACCAGGTAGTTAACACCTTAGGTCAAATACACCAAATCACAAGAATAGTATAAATATATTATTAGCAATCAGCAGGGTTACACGAGGAAGTTTATATGAGAATACAGCTTGACATACAGGGAAAATCAATAAGAAACACACCGAAAGCAATTTAATATATGTGATAACTGACTCTACCTATCACTGCTTTCGTTATATCTATAGGCAATAATCAAACTAAAACCTTGGTCAAATAATAATAAAACAAGCTGATTCTCATCCTTGGGAACACTTTCAGGGGTTTTGATTTTGGGTATAGATATAGTCAAGATGAGCAGCCAAAGTCCTCCTTTCCAAACATTCTTCTTCCTTGACTCCTTTGCAGCTCTCTTCCTTACCAACTTGTTTTGGTTCAACAACATCCTGCGATAAATTCAAGAAAAAATAAAAAAAGGAAGAAATATCCCATTTGTAAGTATTGTACGTTTAACAAATTCAATAAACATGAGTCAAAGACAATACTAGTAATTTGTACAACACAATAATGTCATCACTATTGAAACATAACATAATTAAATGATTAAAAGTGTATTTTGTTTAACAACTTAAACTTTTAGATGAGATGATCGTATAATTCAACAATCAAATTACCGAGTGTAACGCTTTAAGTACCTGGTTTTGAATATTGCTGAGGGTGGCCTCATGAAAGGTTGGCTCAGGGCGAGCAGCGTAGGACAGGGTAAAGCAGAGGAGAAGGATGATTAAGAAAAAGCTGGCAGATGCTTTAGAATTAGACATGGTTGTTTAGCTAGATGCTTAATTAGACTCTAAGTAAGATGCAGGGGAAAGTTTTCTTTAGCTCTATGACTCTGTGTTCTGTGTGGTGGCTTGAATTTATAATGAAAAGGAGAGAATGTTAATACCGATGTTTTGAGTGTGAACTAGGGTGAGTAAAAGGGCGACTTTGAACACATTGATGTCAGGGAATCAGGAAATTGTATCTTAAGTGGACTAGGATGTATGTAACAAGAAGTTTTTTAGAAATAAACAAATGGCCAGATAAAGATAGGAAAAAGTTATTTGGACGGAAAGTTGAGGTGCTGAGGATGCAGTAGAACTACTAATCCTCAAAGGGATAGTGATTATGGGCAACCACAAGAATTTAATGAAAGAGAAGTTTAATTACTGATACGTAGATATTAATGGCCAAGTTGTAGAGTATTTTTAGAGTTTTTGGCTAAAACATCCTTATACTATCCCTCAAACTTAAATTTTATCCTTTATATATCTAACTGAACAGAAAACATCCTTAAAGTATGAGAAAATGGGCAAAATACATTCTACTGTTAGTCAAATTTCCAAAACTAACGGCAGACATAAAATCCATCTTCTGCCCTGTTTTTAAACAGCACATGCTGCTTACAGATTATCAACATCCAGTATTCTTCCTTAAGTACTCCATTCTGGTATAATAAATCACTCCAATTCCAAACCATCGAATTGATACATATCCTCATATCAATAACAGGGCCAAAGAGATGGATCTGATGTATGCCCATCAAATTAACAATCAAAAGGAAGTAGGAAAAAAAATTGTTCTATGGCCAAATAGTTGTACTGATTTAACAATTAGTGGGCCAAATATTTTTTTAGTAGCTTCTTCGCATCTAAATTCAGAGAACTCTCATGACTAAGAGATTTCAATAAAGTATCGTACTCCTCTTCCGTATCCTGTATGATTTTGGGATATTATTATTTTTAGCCCACGTCAGAAATTATTTATATTCGGTAGTCGAAAAAGTATATAAAATTTTTGTAATATTTGTACAAAAAATATATATATTTCGGCTATTATTTTAAGAGCGACTATACAGTGCCATTTTCCCTATGATTTTTGCCAGGAATTCACTTCAGTTAACTTCCTGATCAAGAACAAACAAAGCATTCTTTTTTCAAGTGCTTATCGCGCACAATATTTTTTTGAAAACTTCACCATTCATTTTTATAAGTACAACTGGATTCAACCTGGGTTACGAGCATACTTAAATGGCCTATCTGAACTCAATCATAAGCAAATAGGCTATTTAAAAGTGCTCAATCAGCTTTCTCTCTGTACTGCATAGTCTTCTCCAAGAATGGATAAGGTAGAAAGAGACACTACACACTGCAACAGTTTTCTTCGTGGACTAGGTACCCTTTTTTTACTTTTTTCATCTTTCTTTTTGATTTCTATTGTAGGATTTATCTAACAACAAAGCAACCTAAATAACCATCCATATAATCTCCAAGCAACATGTACTATATAAAAATCCAGGGGGAAGAATATGGGTTATATGATCTGCCGTTAGTTTTGAGATTTTGACTAACAGTAGAATGTATTTTGCACATTTTCACAAACATTAAGGATATTTTTTGTTCACTTGAACATATAAAGGATGAAGTTTAAGTTTGAGCAATAGTATAAGGATGTTTTTAGCCAAAAAACTCAGTATTTTTAAGTAATCCGATTTAAACTTTTGTAAAGCAACCTAAGATAAATCGGGGATCTTGAAGCTTCCACTTGCCCTATTTCTCTTGCCATAGCCTTTGGGTTTAGCATTTTTCTCAATAAAGCATATATTACTCCACATTCTAGAACAACCAAGAAAGTTTTCTTCGTTCTTCTTTTTGTTTCAGGTAATGGGAATTTATTAAGTCTTTTTGTATGATTATTTGTGGTGCCATTTGTCGTACGTAGTCCTAATCGGATATCTGGAGGATAGTGAAATATGCATGGACATGGAATTTATCACATAAACTTGCAAGAACTTGTTGTGGCTCATAGAACTTTGAAACGCTAATGAGGTTACGTTGCAGAATAGCCGTTTAAGTTGAAGAATCTATCTAGTACAAGTTGACAATATTTTGTTTCACATAATTAATGATGAACAAATAATTCTTACATTTTATTGTGAATTAGCCCAGTTTCCTGTCTCTCTCTTGATATAATCACGACCCCATCTGATATATGGTACTGTCACTTAAAAATAAAAATGATCAATGGGATTACCATCTCACGGAGTTCTCTTTGTTAACGGCAAAACAATCTAAAGAGATCAAACTCACATAAAATTTTATAGAACTAACTCCAAATTAAGTTGCACGTCATTCAGTAGTTTTTCAGCTTTTATTTTACTACTAGTTCGCAACATAACAATGTTCACATCATACCAAAAAGGTTAAGTGCACGGGAGAGGGACTAGCTTTAGGATTTGGCCAATTTTGCAAAGGTGGTGATGGAATATGGATATAAGAAATATTAGAAATAATGGGATGAAATAATATAGCTTTGATAGTGTAATCACTGTCATTTAGGAATTAACAGACTCATGTTTCCCTCTAAAATATCCTTTAAAATATTCAGAAAGACAAAAATAATGCTTTTAAAGACTTCTTCCTTTCTTTAATTTTCCAACTATGGACAACACATCCTCTTCTCAAATACTAACTAAATCCAACAAGAAATACACAAGTCCATCACGGTCCTTTTATTAATTCAAGTTACTTCAACCCAATCCACGGTCTTCTCTGTGCTTTGTGACCACAAAGGCTGCGTTAACGCGGACTAAGCAATAGATGTAATTAAGACAAAAATTATTATTCTAATGATCATCACATGACAAAAACCTCTAACTGGCAGTACAACTTGATGTAAACGGTTATGAATATTCAAACAAAATACGCTAACTAAATTGACGAACATATGTTATGAGCGAAAAAGCTATTAACTACTAATAACTACTTAGTTATAGATTTGGAGGAAAGGAATGTTGAACAACAACTTATTTACCAAAGTTGACCAAACGCGGAAGGCCAATTAAAAGTCATATTCATATATACTTTAGAGAAATAGGATCACTAAACCAAAGTGAAAAGAATGTTAATGTTTAAATGGCAAATCTTCGACCAGTCAAAAGCTCTCCCGTTAAGCGCTTTCGATCGGCTGCTAAAGCACAAATGCCTCTGACAAACTTCTTCCTCCCTTTTTGTTTATTTTTCTTCGTTAAGCAAACGATGTGTTTTATGCGGGAAAAAATAAAGGAATTTAAAAAGAAAAGGGTTTTACCAAGATCTTCTTAGATTGTGATTCAGCGTTTCCTGACAAAATTTAGAGCACTTTGTGAAGTTAGACTTTCAGCATTCGAACAAACGCATGTATCCAAGAATCTAAGTGAAGGGTCCATTGCTGATTTTCGCATTGATTGAAGTGTGTTAACCGCTTAGTTGCAACAGGAGAATTTCTTATGTGCACTTAGTGCTTATATTGCTAAACCAAACAATTTGACCTTGAATGTTACAAATTAAAGTGATAATACATCCAGTATAATTTAATGATGGTGTATAGGATAAAATCAGTTCACACTAAATACTCGAATGACAGAGTGACACGTGGAACAGGGGACAGACGGAAGACAATGGAAACCGAGAATGCGGGCAACAACTTCGGGTTGGCATCGGATAGACCCCGAAGGGAACATTATCAACAAGGGCCACCAGATAACATTCAATAAAGAATATTTCTGAGTATTAAATACACATCTGTTATAGAGAATTTTGACATTCATGAAATGCAGTTACATATTCATCAATGGTCCCCATTATTCATTTAAGAGGGGCTTGATCCTAGGACCTTGTTCCCTAGCTATAAACAGTGGCTTCAACAACCATTGTGACACACAAAAAATCTGACGAACATATGCTATACATTATTCCAAGCTAAATAATACTTTACTTTCTGTCTAACGTCATTTTTATTACTGCCTTCGGAAGCCTTGCTCCCGGAACCAAGTTGTCTGCTATTTTATCTCAATTTCAACGCTAAGTCTTGTATTTTATTTAATTTATCTAGCATTTTGGGATCAAATCGATTTGTTTGTCTATAAACAACGCTATAAATTTAATTGTACCGTTTTACGGGTAAATAATTTGGTGCCCACCGTAGGGCTTAGACAGTTGCATAATTGAGTTGATCCTTGCATCTATTACTAATCTGTTTGATTCTTGTTCTAAGAAAAAATCAAAAAAGATGACAGCTAACAATGACAACATCGCACACAAAGTTGAGGCACAAGAAAATCTGCCTCAACACGAGGATTCGATCGTGACACCCGCAACGAGGAGGACGTAGCCACGCCGGTTCTTGGCGAGCGGTATCCCCAACACGTACAGGAGGCAACTCCTGATGATGACGAAGACGAGCACATTACGGATATGGTGAGGATCATGAGAGAACAACAAAAAGCTATCATGGCCCATCTCTCACGGCAAGACCAGGCCAAGACAAAATTAAGGCAAGCGTTGTCAGGTGCTTCCAACAACGCGAATGTAAGAGGTCCAGTTCCTCTCGGTGCCCCATAAATTTACAGCACAAAGGGTTGATAACAACACCCCGAGGGTGGGGTCGGCTTCGATGGGTCCGGGGGGATCGTCAGCGGATCTGGTAATAACAAAAATAATGATCCCTTTAAAATCGAGCTCATGCGGTTTATGAGGGGAATAAACGCTCGAATGGACCAAATTCCGGGCACAACACTAGTGCTGAAGGGATAGGACTCAAATAAGTACACTCATTTGCCATTCAAACCGAACGCAACACCAGAGTTGATTTTGATTTCAAAAGGCCAGACGTACCAAAATATGATGGGACTTCGGACCCTTAGGAGCACATCACCACCTATACAATGGTGGTGAAAGGAAACGACTTGGATCTACACGAGATTGAGTCGGTGCTGCTGAAGAAGTTTGGAGAAACCCTCACGAAGGGGGCCTTGACAGGGTACTCACTTTTACCCGAGCACTCAATAGATTCCTTTGAAATGCTCGCAGACTCTTTCATCAAGGCCCATGCCGGGGCCAGGAAGGTCTAGGCCTGGAAGGCAGACATATTCAGAATTTTGTAAGGAGAGTTCGAGTTGGTGCGCTAGTTCATGACCAGGTTTCAGAAAGAAAGGGTGCTGCTACCAGCCATGCTAGATGAATGGGCAGCTGGGGCATTTACTAAAGGGTTGAACACTTGAACCCGAGGAGCTGACGCCTCCCGAAA